ATAGATAACGCTGTCTCTTCACCACCAACGTAATTGTTTCTTTCAGATGGATTTCACGTGAAGTCTCCTTCAAGATGCATATATTCTCTCCTCTCTCATAAAGTGGTCTCAGTAAATCAATCTTAAAACTGATTAGGTGAAAACTGCTGAAGTTCAGATATGCATCATTCAGAGTAGTTTTAAAACGAAATGATACAGTCTTCGATGTGCACTTCCACTTCTGAACAAGTACCGATAGCACAAAACTGTTCATAGTTACTCAATTAAACTGTGAATATAGAAAAATCTTTAATGGGAATGAAAATGTTTCGATTATATATCCGAAAAAGATGATCAAATTAAGTTTCTCTTTATTCACCACTACTTATAAGAATGTATATGAGTATTATATGGCGTAATCTTGCAAAAAAACACAATTTGGGGTAGACTAATGAGATACAAAAATGAAGAATGATGGATAACGGTTTTAATTGAAATCAACATTTTAAGTCATCAGCCTTGTTTCATATGGGTTAAAGAAACCTCATTGGATAATTTTGTCCTTCAGCTGACCAATCAAAATGCATGTCAAACTTCTGACCCAGTAGCTTCATTTTCTAAGGAAAAACTGTATATGAATACTGTTTTTTTGTCAAATAAAGTTGTATTTCTCTCAGTTACAGGTTCTGTTTTGTCTTCTTATTTTTGCGGTTAAGTGGATTATCAGGTCTGATGCAGAACAGTCACTAAGCGTTTCCAGTCCAAGTGTCTCATTACATTAGTAGAGTTTCTCGTATTTCGTATTTATCCTGTCAATCACTTCCGCTTGATCCCTTCAGAGAAGGCCTATTATTGTTAGTTCGTTCTGAGGTATAGGAGATTTATCGTTACTCATTATACTTTTTTGTCAAGAGTTTCTACTGTAGCGTGAGATTTCTTTTTCGGAGTTGTTGGACATATTCTGCACGTTTACGGACAATACCAATAATCTCCTAAGAATGCATTCTTTTATAAATTGAGATAACATTATACAATTAAGTGAATTCACCCTTCAAAGTTGTACTCATCACACACTGACATCATTTGGGAAACCACTGGGCACTCTGGGAAGCTATTTCATCCTGCTGTAGAACTCCTCAGAAGTACACACTCACAAAGTCATCTCTCCAGAAATCGAATTCAGGAACTTCAGGTTGCACAAGAAACCACAAATTACCCATCAGCTATTGGGGCGGAGTTCAATGGTCCACAGTTTCAAACTTCTGTCATCAACTGACACCATTTGGAGAAGCATTAAAAACCTGAGAGTACTGGACAGTTATCCTGTCGTAATAAGGAACACCTTCTCAGTATGCACATACAACTTTGTCAGGGTTCGAACCGAGGCAGGTTACATCTTGCGGTGAGTAAGCTATTTCTCATCACCTGGATCGGGTTTCAATGGGTCACAGTCCCTTACTTCTGCCAATTCACGATATAGCACAACATTAATTCCATGCCACTGGAGAATATTCGTTTACATTCTTGCTATACTTTACCCCAGCGGTTATGACTTCTCATCAGAACTTCGGAAAACCCATCTTGAGGTATGTCACAAAAGATGTGAGAAATATGAACCATATTATCTTGACTCAGAGGTAGAATTGTGACGTGCTTACCGCAAAACCTCAAGGTTATAGGTTCGACTCCTGCTGGGGTCATGGATGCACTGCTGAAGAGTCATTCAGGACGACGAAACACCTGACCACTAATTCCACATTCTCAATGATTCTCCAACCGACATCAGTCCTTAAAAAATGCTGTTTTGAAATTACACACCTGCAAAGTGTGTTGAGTACATACATAGCTTTCACTGTAATTTCTGTTCCAAGCCGCATGCCATTCTGCAATTAAGTCAGGTGATCGACCAAGTTCATGAAGTGGCGTTTATGTGAATGGGTGAAGTGATATGTTGCTGAATAGGATAAAGTAATTGATACGTAGTGACTAAAAGGCAGCCAATAGGGGAGTTATTTTCAAGTCATGATGAGATCATGTTCAGGTCATGATTTACGCATTCGCTGACATAAGAACCTGATTGGAGAAATTCGACTTCATACAAGAAATCTGATTGGTTCACTTATGGCTTCACTTTCTGATAGTTTTGTAAATACAAATATGTCATGTATTTGCCTAATAAAAGTTGTCGCTGTTCTTGAAGTCGCAGGCCGCCTTTGTCTTCTGATTTCTCCGCGGCTCAGTGAAGCAAAAACTACTGAGGGAAGTCAGTCTTTAAGGTATTCGGTTGAGGTCTCTATTGAGTCTCAGTATCATTGTACCCAAGCGCACAACCTCAACACTCCGTCACAACAGTAATACTGTCTTATAGCTTGACTTTATAGGTTATATTCAGTTCCCCTTTTCGTTGTTCATCCCTTCACTGCACTCGTTCTTATTCTGCTTCACCATCCTCCTCTCTTCTGTCAGCTTCCATGTGTCCGTCCATATCCATTCATTATCTTCTTTCTTCTTCCTTCTGAATACGGTTATGAAGGTTTGTTTCCACACGTCTTTCAAAGAGTTCCAGTATTCTTTCACAGCGGTTTCTTGAGGGATGTTGCTCAATATCTCCTATTTCTTCTTGCTGGCTGACGTGAAGATGTCTTTTGTAGTTTCATCCTTCAGTTTCTGTTTTGGGTGTTGAACTTGAACTGTGGTCTATCACCAACTTCTTTGAAGGCTTTCAACTTGATTTTGAAGGTAGGTTCCTTGCACCAGATAGTGAGTGGTGTGAACCTACATCTGCCTGCCTTCTTTGTCTGATCTTGTGCCAGGTAGGCTACGTCTCCAGTTTCTTCATATTGAGATGAAGTCGATCTGAGTTTAAGTGTAGTTTGTCCATCTGGTGAAATCAAATCCATGTCGCTTTCTGAATATCCTTGTGTTTGTATACAGTGCCTCGAATTACCAAATCTTTGAATGCACAGAAATCTGCAAACAGTTCTCCATTCTGATTCATTTCACCACGTACTTCTCGACACATGATCAATTCTCTTCCAGTGTTGTCCACTCTCAGTTTGGCATCCATATCATCCATTAGAATTTTGATATCGCTAACTGAAGTCTTGTCCAGTGTTGATTGCAGTTGTCTATAGAATTCCTCCTTCTCCTCTTCATCTGCATTATTTGTAGGTGTCTATCACTGAATCATTGTGACTTTGATTTCTTTCGAGTTGAATCTTGCTGTCATGATGCTGATCCTGCAGGAGGAGATTGGTTCCCACTGCATGAGAGAGAACCTTCGATGTTCTTGAAGGGGACATCATGATAGCCACTCTGAAACGCAGTGTGTTTGTGGTTGTCGTCTGGGTGACCGGAGTAGATTATTTACTTCTCTTCAGTTGACACTTTGGAGACTCCACTTCTATTCTGTCTACTTCCGCAGATTTCAGTCACTTCTATGGTATACCTTCCCATCTCTTTTCAAATCTGGGCAGTCTTGCCAGCCACCTTCAAACACTGTACGGACATTCCATGTCCCCATTCTCACTTTCGCTTTCATCGAGAAAAGATAAGACACATCGGCCAACTGGCTTCTCCAAGGCTTTCTCCAACCAGCGTCATTTCGTCACTCCGATTCCAGCAAGGATTAGGTCTATTTTTATTTTTTACATTTTCATATACTTTGAGGTTTCTTTAGCGATTGGATTGATTTTCCGGGGTAGGGGTTGCTAGCCGTATGCCTTACCTTCTCTGTTTATTCGGGCTTAGGACTGGTTAGTAACTAGTGAACTAGTTAACCAGGTGAGGTTTTTGAATACAGAATCAAGGTATAATCAACCTTGTATAGGCATGGCAAGTGAAAGTTTTTCTACTGGTTGTTTTTGTTGTTCAACTATCTTGTTTACACAAATTGTATCTCGCTGAATCGATTCCATTTTTCAGGCATACATAAACATCAGTTTTCACTATAATTTTTAAAATTTTCACCCTTTGCATTCTTATCGCTCAACTTTTTCATGTACTTGAGGGAGTTTGTTTTCAATGCCAGTGTTTCAAGAGTTATTTATTACTCATTGGTTTGAGTTGACTTTCGATTAGTGAGTTACGGATTTGAAACTAAGAGACAGTCAGTGTCATTGTTTTTCAAACAGTAAGTGTGATTCACTCCCGTCTACTGCATTGCAAGTTTAACATTGAAAGATGTGTAAATAATTCGCAACACTTTACAACAATTTCTGATGTTCCCAGCAGAAGAGACAGTGAAATCAAGTGTCCCAATAATCGCCCATGTTTTAGTATTATGTGTCAGAATATTCAAAACCATCAATCTCGTTTAGGCGGTTAGAAAATATCCTATCTGATACAGTCAGATGATTTGTTGATTGGTTAACATTCAATAGAAATAGAGATTATTCAGAAAATTTCTGAAAAAACATTTGATTGGGGTCTTGAAAATCGGGAGGAGGTAGTTGTCCCTAAATCAACCTATTTATATCTCTCATAAGTTTATCCACATTTCAACATTACAGCAATGACCTTGAACTAATGCAAACGATTTTAGACGCTATTGAATGAATTTCAGGGTTGGACAGAGTTTAAAAACTTTGAAATCAGTCAGTGCCTATCTCTTCAAGCAGATATTTCAGCCTATCTTACAGTGAGTGAGTAAGATGGCCATCTTATCTACCAGAATGAGTCATTTATTATCACATAGATAAAAAAAAATCATCGTTGAAATGCTTGAATGAGTCATGTAATTTTTCAGGATGGGAATGTTGCAATTGAAAAAAACAAGACAAAACGCATTCCATTTATGAACACAGAGAATAAAACATTCACATCTTGTGACATATATGAGTGTTATAAGCAAACGGTAGCACTAGTACTGATACTTATTTATGAATACTGAGTTAGGAATTCCTTTTGATTTTCACAAATTTCAGCATCCCACATTTTGTTAATTGACAGTAGGCTGCTTCTACTGTTTTGTTGTTGCTGTATTGGCTATGAGTAGAAAGTTAACCACGTGTGTGTGTGTGTGTGTGTGTGTGTGTGTGTGTGGTTGTGTTAGTATGTCTGCGTAAGTATATATAAAGTAGTCTTAATGACTTAATCTCCAGTTTCGCCTCACAGCTCATTCATTTGCATATCATCTTCCAATTTGATTTGATCGTTACACATTCTTCCTCATTAGTGATCCAGCTACGCACACCAACACACATACACACACACACATAGACATATAAGGATACTTATAAGTCAGTAAACACGTTATCATCCCATCTACAGACAAACCTGCTCATCTAGATACACATAGATAATCGACTTCTATAAACAAAAGCTTATCTAAGATATATTTTCAATTGAATTAATACTTTGAAAAAAAATTATTCCATCAAAGCGATACCGATTATCACAACAAAAGAAAAAGATGGTTACATGTACAGAGAGATATGCTGCACGACAGCATGCATTAGCTGATCGATTTCGATTGACTTCACGTCCATTAATACGAGCTTGTTTAGGTGAATTCTTTGGTACAATAATTCTAGTAATATTTGGCTGTGGTGTCCTTGCTCAAGTATTTCTAGGTGATCATGGTAGACATGCACATGGAACATTTATATCTGTTAGTTTGGGCTGGGGATTTGCTGTCTACATGGGAGTATTTTTCTCGGGACAATGTGGTTCTGGACATATTAATCCAGCTGTGACACTTGCATTCGCTTTAATTGGAAAGTTACAATTTCGACGTGTACTATTGTATACTTTATTTCAAGTGTTGGGGGGTTTCATTGGTGCTGTGGTGATCTTCGGTGTATATCATGAAAAAATTATGGAATATGCTGACAAATATGATGAAGGCAAACTGTTATTGAATTCAACTGGTGGTATATTTGTCACTAATCCAGGAGCATCTCATCTAACTTGTTTCCTTGATCAAGTGCTAGGAACTGCATTGTTAGCAGCAGGAGCATTGGCTATTTCTGATCCCAATGGATGGAAACTTCCAGAATACTTACATCCATTACATTTAGCGTTTTTGGTTTATGCTTTAGTCGGTTGTTTTGCATTGAATGCTGGATGTGCTTTAAATCCTGCACGAGACCTTGGGCCTAGACTTATGCTGTTGGTTTGTGGTAAGTTTTTAAACTTTCTTATACATAAATAATTATATGTGATATTCCCATTTTATAACAATCAATGTATATGTTTAGGTGTAGACAAGAGTTTCAAGGATTGTCTATGAAATATGATGTTGTTTATAGTAGAGTTTTTGAGATTCAGATTAACTCCTTGTATGAATGATGTCAGCAAACACTGAACACAATAAGCAATGACTGCAGCTAATATATGGAATCTCATTTCACATCAGCCATCAAGAAGGAATAGGAGATATTGAGCAACATCCCTCAAGAAACCGCTGTGAAAGAATACTGGAACTCTTTCAATGAGGTGTGGAAACAAACCTGCATAACCGTATTCAGAAGGAAGAAGAAAGAAGATAATGAATGGATATGGACGGAAACATGGAAGCTGACAGAAGAGAGGAGGATGGTGAAGCAGAATAAGAACGAGTGCAGTGAAGGGATGAACAACGAAAAGGGGAACTGAATATAACCTATAAAGTCAAGCTATAAGACAGTATTACTGTTGTGACGGAGTGTTGAGGTTGTGCACGTGGGTACAATGATACTGAGACTCAATTTTTGTCTAGTGACTACTGTAAAAGGATTTCATCGTCACCCATTTGATATCTTGCATTGTTGAACACGATTGAATCTCTAAAATGTGTTGACCATTTGGCATCTATTCAGTAAATTTAATATGTAACCATTTCTGTGTTCTTACCATGTACTTGTTATCATCCAGCAAGATAAGTCTCACAACTGGATAGGTTTTGGACAGTGTACTCCTAATTCATCTGTTGGTTCTTATCACATTATCATCTCCTCTGAAGTTCAAATAAAATAAAATAACACTGGTTTCTTTTCAACAGTAAAACATCATCCTTATTTCTCCTTGTCACTTTTATAGTAAGTTTGAATGAACTTCATCCGATAATGATTAGTGTGTATTCTTCGATTAATTGAAATTGTTTTTGAAGTTTTTCTTGAGAGCTTTAATCTCTCTGTCATCTAGCATAACGTCCTTTCTGAATCTCATTTATAGTTGATTAGACAAAAGTCACTCTACAGTACCATCTTCATTATTATTACTATTATTATTAGTCTCTTGGGTTCTTAATGGAACATAGGGCTTCAGTAGCACATCTCCAGTGAACTCTGTTCTCTGAAATCTTTTCAACCTGGCTCCAGGACAGCCCAGAATCTCTCATTTCCTCCTCGCACCACCTCCTCCATGTCACCCTCGGATGTCCAACTCGTCGCTTCCCATGGGATTCCACTCGAGCAACTGGCCTGACGCATGATGTCCCCAGTCGGCCAAATCCATCTCCACTTCCTTCCAGTGCATATTTGTTGAGTGATAGGTTCTTGGATGGTTCGTTCCCAGAGTTCCTTGTTGCTTATTCTTGTTATCCTGGCCATCTGATCTTCAGTAGCGAGCCAGCGTAAGCAGTTGTTGATGAATGTCTATAGTTTATTGGAAATCCCTTTCGTGACGCGCCAAGTCTCTCAACCATACAGAAGCACTGACTTGACTGGGTTGGTGTTGAAAATCCGTATCTTGTTCCACATGCTGAGTGCAGTGCAGAAGATCTCCACACTGGTTTCAGTCTAATGAACGCCTGTCTTGCTTTTCCGATTCTGACTTTGACATCCTTGTCTGTGCCACTGCCGCCTGTAGTTGAAACAGTGCTTCCTAGATAAGTGAAGGAGGTTACTTCCTTTAAGTTTCTCCCGTTGATGGTGATTGGAGTTTGTTGTTGTTGTTGATGGTGGTGGTGCGGTATCTTCATCACCTCTGTCTTCTCTATATTCACCTGAAGTCCCGTCTCCCCTCGCTGCCTCTTCTGCCAACTTGTTAGTTTTCACGTGTAGATCTTCAAGTTTGTGTGACATCAGACACAAGTCATCTTCATTACAGTTGAAAAATAAATTGAGAAAATTCCACTGAACACTTAATACTATGATGTGTATTGTTGAAATGTTGAATCAGGTTTCATGGCTTGTTTAACATTTTCATAGATGATAAAATTATCATCAATATATCTTAAGTAAAGTATAGTTTTATAAAATTCAAAGTTCAAAGGTGATGTTTTCTAAGCGTGACATGATGTCTGTCATTACTGGTCTTAGTTGGCCACATCATCAACTTGGTATTATAAGCTATTATTATTTTTCCCTTGGGTTCCTAGTGGAACATGGAGTTTCAGTAACACGTCTCTATTCAACTCTGTTCTCTTCAGTCTTCTAAACCTGTCTCCACAACTTCCCAGAGGCTCTCACTACTTCCTCACATGATCTCCTCTATGTCACCCTCACCTAGGATGCCTAACTCATTGTGTCCCCTTTGGATTCAACTCAACAGCCTGGCGCGTGATGTCCCCAGTCGGCTATCTCAGTATATGCCCAATTTATCTCCACATTCTTCTTCTGCATGTTTGTTGCGTGATAGCTTCCTGGTTAGTTGGTTCCCAGAGTCCCTTGTTGCTTATTCTTTCTCACCATCTGATTTTCAGTATCGAGCGTAGGCAGCTGTTGATGAATGTCTGTAGTTTGTTGGAAGTGCTTTTCGTGACGTGCCAACCTTCTGAACCATATAGCAGCACTGACTTGACTGAATTGGTGTTGAAAATCCGGATTTTGTTCTTTCAGTTTAATGAACGCCTGTCCTGCTTTTCCGATCCTGGCTTTGACGTAGATTATTGACTCTCCAGTTGACACTTTGGACAGTCTAGTTCCATTACATTTGCAGATTACTCGCAGACTCCTGGCACTTCCATGCCATACCTTCTCATCTCTTTGGTAATCTGAGCAGCCTTGCTACATTCATACATGGTGCAGACATTCCATGTCCGCATTCTCAGTTTAGCTTTCATCGAGAGAAGAGTAGACACATCGATTGACTGGCTTCCCGATGCCTTTCACCAACTGGCGTCATTTCGCCTCTGCGACTGCAGCAAGGAACAGGTCTATTTTAATTTCATTTTATTTTCTTTCTGATTTGAAGTTTCTTTATAGATCGGATTCGTTTTATACGGTAGGGGTAGGGTTGCAAGCCATATGCCAAAAATTTCCGGTTTATTCGGGCATAGGACTAGTTAGTAACTAGTAACAACGTTAAGCAGGTGAGTTCGGCAGAAGAGATAAATTTGTCAAGATTGAATTCAACATCATTGGTAAAAAAAGAGAGAAAATTCATTTCTGTATTCAAAATAGCATATCAAAGAGATGCATGGGGATTTTTAATAACGAAGCAGTATGCATCATGGAATCATATTATATGGCGAACATTTCAAAAAATGCGGGAGCACTGGAAAGCGGCTTCATCAGAGACGTGAACAGCGGGGTCAACCAGTCGGAAGTGAAGTGGATGCTAACTGAATGAAGACGTTGGGTGACAGTCGCGCTGTGTCGTCAATTGACAGAAGTTGGAAATTGTGAACCAGTGGAAACCGACCCAGTCGTTGAATGGTTAACGCGTTCGCCGTGAAACCTGAAGGTCCTGAGTTCCACCCCTAGGCGGATCGTGGGTGCGTACTGCTCAGGAGTCCCATACTAGGACGAAACAGCTGTTCAGTGCTCCCAGATTTCCAATGCTTCCCCAACTGATGTCAGTCCATGATGAAAACTGCTTGTAAACTATCTATGTCTTCATGAATTGAACGATAATTCGTTCATACTTGATAACAAATTCATCTCATTATTCCAAATGGCTTGTCAAAATTCACCAACCAACTAACACACATTACACACTGAAACATATTCCAACTGACTGATCATCTGATAGTCTCAAGAAGACATCTTTCCACCCAACTCATCATTCATTCACTATATATGACAACCTGTCCATGCAGAATATTATTTAAGATTGCGATCAAGGTTTGAAAGTTCGAGTAGATTCATTATATCTTCTTAACTTGATGATTCATCTGATGAAGACTGTTTTCGTCATTACTGGATCATCTTCACCTTACTATTTAACTAGATACTTTCACTGCCTATCATTCTTGTTAATGTGAAATTCAAAAGTCACACACTCGTCACACATCGTGCCGTTGCAGTTTAGTATGCTGAGTTGGCATCACAAAATGATTTTAATATTATAACCTGTTAGCAAGTAAAATGTATCAGCCTTTTTATTAGCTCATAGGTTTGAATTACATCTTTGATTCAGTAGATGACTGACCAATCAGAAAACGGGCAAGCCTATCACTAAATATCATCCATCCTATCCGATTAAGCTTAAGTATACACAATGATGACAAAACAGCCAATCCTATTCAAGGTCACTGACTCTGACTAGTTCACAACATGGGGAAATATTTGAAAGTCACATCACTTTTACACAGATGCTGATAATAATTGGTACACTCATACTCATAATTAATTCTTCATGAATTCAACAATCCAACTGGGATTTCAGTGTCAGATGGGATTGAATCAAATTCCTATTCATACTTCATCTATTTAACTATGATAATGTGAAAGGATTTATACATCGATGTGATATATTCACACTGGCTGATCAATC